ACTGGACAGAGGACGTGTTGGGTGTTTGAAATCAATCTCTTCTTCCCTGAATCATTTCTCTTGTGCTCCTAAGAGGCTGCATTATATACAGCCATGTCAGGCACTGAGCCCCATGACTTTATTCATCAGGAACTCGAAGAATGTTTCAGTTTTTCCAGAAAATTTTTTCTGTGTTAGGCTTTGTTTGTACTGGAGCACTTTGAAGATGAAAATCTGAACTTCAGCATACTTTTAATATGTTTTAACAAGGTTTAAATTCACACTTGGCCAAATATTTCCCCCCTTCCTCTTCTAACAACTTCTGGCTCTAAACATTACTCCTTTGAGGATTAAAAGAAACAGAGGCATGTTTTATTAAAAAATATTTATTGAATATGACTCATAAAAAAACAGAGGTCAGAATCCTCAGTTGCTGGTGGCATGCATAAAACAATACGCTTCCTCAGCTGTGCTGTGCATGGCAGTGGAGAGGCCATGTCCATGCCCCAGGGTGCCAGCGTCCCCTGCGGGTTGGGGCAAATGGGCAACAGCACCACCAGCACGTGATGGTTTGTCCTAGCGGCACCTACCCTTGCTCGCCTTAGCTCCTTCCCAGGGCCACATAGCGCAGAGTTTTGTTCCAAAATTGCCCAAATGCATTTGACTTAATGGAACCCTCCGCTATTTTTGTTTTATTTTAGCTCATCTACACCAAATCTCCAAGGCAAAGGCTTTGTGGTAGGGTGGTCTTTGCTTAGACCCATGTGCCAAGGCTTTGGTGGCTCTGTCTTGGTAGGGGATGTTCTTTAAACTGACCTGCCAGGTGGATCTGAAGTGCCAGACATCATCAGGTCAACTTGTTACCAGTGTCAGAGACATATGTGGTACCACCAAGACACGGTGACGGCGCTTCAGCAGCAACTGCTCTCCGGCACCAGACTCTCTGGTGCTCTTGAAGGGTGAACTGAAGTGGCAGTTTGCTTTTAGAATGTGATGAAATCCAAGGGCCCCCGTCTGTCCTCTGTCATCTGAAAAATCTCTTGTCATTCTTGTCCTAAGTGTTCAGCCCTTGGATTTTGAGCAAATTCTAGCTTAATTGTGGAGGTTTTTTTGTGCTGCCACAAACATCTGAAGCCCCATCTGCAATCAGGATCAATTAGGTAGAGACAGGCCCTGCTCTGAGAGCTGACAAACTTGCAAGATGGCAGAAAGAACCTGCAGGTAAATTTTTTTCTTTGTTTTTAAAATATATTAAAATTTGTTTGTTTTTAAGGCTGGTTTATGATCATTTCGGGGAAAGTGAATTGATAAGAACTGAAAAGAAAGACCTGTTTATGCAAAACGTCTGTTTAACAGAAAATCCCACCTTTTTTCTTCTTGCTTCCTGATAGTCTTGTGCTTTGAAAGGACTTCTTTTAAGACAGATGAATGGTAACATAAGAAACTGGCTTTTTTTTTTTTCTCTTTGTTTTTCATTTTGCTGACTTTTGTCATGGTATTCAGATTTGCATCAAGAGATTTTACTCATGGAAGTCTTCTGATCGGGAGAGAGGTTGGGGTGGTTGGTTTATGAAGAGTAATAAAAAATTTTGAGATCTAGAAATTGTTTGAAAATTTTTAGGGAGTCCTTTGACCTTCCATTTCATTTGGGTGATGGTCTCACTGTGCTGAATTTTCCAGGTAAGCAATGGCAGTGGTTGTAGAAGCATGCGAACACACAACCCAATGTCTGTGTTTACCATACCTTCTCTTCCTCTGTTCTAGAGTTCTTCAAAGAACTTCTTGAAAATGCTGAGAAGTCACTGAATGACATGTTTGTGCGGACGTACGGCCGTTTATATATGCAGAACTCTGAGCTTTTCAAAGACCTCTTCGTGGAGCTGAAGCGGTACTACGTGGGTGGCAACGTCAACCTGGAGGAGATGCTCAATGAGTTCTGGGCGCGCTTGCTGGAGCGCATGTTCCGGCTGGTCAACCCCCAGTACCACTTCACGGATGAGTACCTTGAGTGCGTCAGCAAGTACACTGAGCAGCTGAAGCCCTTCGGGGACGTGCCGCGGAAGCTCAAGCTACAAGTGACACGAGCGTTCGTGGCTGCCCGCACCTTTGCACAGGGCCTTGCTGTTGCAAGAGACGTCGTGAGCAAAGTGTCCGCGGTGAGCTCCATCTTATGATTATTCCCATGTCCCATGGACCCGTGATGGGTAACATTTTTCCCTGTTGTCCTGGCTAGGTACCTAAAGGCATTGGTGGTAGTTGAGTGCAGGTGGGACCAAACTCTATGTAGGCTGTGCTATTGTGTGATAGAGTCCCATTCTGGGTACACCACCATCCCATGCTGTGGCCCAGCAGCGGGATGTTCGCCAGGTTGATGCTGTGTTCCTGTCTAGGGAGCAGCAACGAGCAGGAAATTAAATACCTTCTGCAGTGGAAATAACCATGTTTGCTTGTGTAATGGCTGTACCTTCTTAATACTGCCTTCAAATTACAGCAAGTCATGGGTGCTATGGGCATCTATTATGGAGCAGCTGATGATTTGCTCCTTACTCCCAGGTGTGGGGAGAGGCTGTTAGTGTGAGTAAATAGTACTTTTATGGTAACAATAAGCCGGAGCCATATGCACAGGGCAGGAGCCAGTTGTACTTGGTGACATACATGCAACATGAGTTAGATCTCAGACTTTTATGGTGAAGTCACTTTTTGGGGGGGCTCAAACAAACGTGATGTGTTGATCCCGTAAATGTTTACTTGCCTCTTCTTATAAACCACTTTGGAGTAGTTTAACTGGGGTGACTTTTTTTTTTTTCAATGTAAAATTTGTCTTTAGTTTAATAACTATGATATAAGGAACCAGTGTATTTGATAATCCCCTTAAAGTAATTGTGTAAGATAACAAATATTAGTGATTTCCTTTTAACAAACTCAGCTCATTTTCTCTGGGCTATAGAAGATTTAGTATAGTCATTTAACTGGGCAGAGAGAGGTTAGCTTTCTCTCTACCTGGTTACAGAGTAATAAAACGCCAGGCTGAAAGGGCAGGGAGTAGTTTGGATCACCCTAAGTGCCAGAAAAGAAAAAAAAAAATTAAAAAAAGGAAATAAACCGGAAAAGAATAGCTGTCCAGGTACTCTTAGAAGCAGAATGCAATTTGGAGGCAGCATAAGCAGCATTGTTAAGTGAGATAATGATTCAAATTGCTTTGACTTACAGGGATAATATTTTAAAAACAGTCTCTGGAAAAAAAATTAGTCTTCTTCCGTGTTAATTTTTCTTGAAGAGAAATGAGAAAAACAGCCTGCAATAAGCCTGCATGTGTGCGATAGGACAGAGAATATTAGCAAGGAAAGAGTTGCCATACTAATATAGCCAGGCTCCAGGAGCAAGTTGTAAGTTAGTGGTGACAGGTTTAAGGTCCTTGGACACCTTGAGTCCCCATTTAAGTGATGACTATTGTGTGAAGTGTGTCTCCATGCTGCTTGTTGAGGATGGGTGTTGTGGAGCTCCATGGGTGACGTGTGGGGTTCCTTTTATAAGACCACAAATCCTCCAGGCTTGGGGACACCGTTCTGTCGTGGGAAGGAGATGTGTAAGGGATAGAGGGTTGGTTCTGGGTGATGCCAAGTGTCATGTCTCTCTGCCAGGTCACTGGCTGAGCCTGCTGACATCTCGGTTGGGGTTTCAGGTATGGTAGCTCTTGTTTCTGGCTGTGTGGCAGATAGGTGGTCAGGGGATGGGGTTTTCACTGCTGGAGAGCGCAGATGAAGTATTTGGGTGGGAAGTCCATCTGCTAAGCCCCAGTACGGTTTTCAGGAATGTGCAATGACTTGATAGGCGGTAAACGTGCATGGTTGAGGGATCGTGTTTATGCTCCATCTGCTCAGAATTCATCAAAACGTCTCCAGACTTGACACACGACCATGAGGGCTACGGTCCCCGCATCTGTTATGAATCAGAGTCGTGAACCCGAGGTGACGTTCTTTCCCTTTTGAAGATCCTTGAGTGTAGAGTTGCCTTCAACTCTAGAATTAATGGCTCAAGTGTGGAAGGTTACCTAGAGACACACTCAGCTGCAAAAATAGCTCACATGCTGTGGACGATCACAGTTACCGCACTTTCCACTTCAGTTTCACAAGTTGCATTGGAAATCCTGCAATAGATTGACTTTTTGAAGTGGTAAGAAAAGTCCCTGCTGCTAAATACCTAAGCTTTAGTTGCAGCAGTGGAAGGAATAATAATCGTTTCTGTAGTGTTTTAATCTCATTCAGTGGAAATCTACATCACATTTATGCAAAACACAATGGGAAATTCTATACGCAAGTTTAAAAGCTGATGTTTTTATGCCTGCCGCTTTGCGGTTGTGTTTTGGGGCTTCCCACATTACATATAGATTAGCCCAGCTTTGCTAAGCTCTATATAATGACTCTGTTGACTTTGCTTCCTTATTATTTTTACTCAGGAGTTGTAGTGGAATGACTGCTTATACCAGGGGTTAACTTGAGGGTTAGATCTTCTATTCTTCTTTATGAAAAAAACGTCCGAAGTAATGCAAATTATTTTTACTTCTAATGCATTTTGTAACAAGCAAGTTAAAAATGTTTAATTGAAAATCCCTAGGAAGATAAATGCAAGCTAGTGCAAGACCCAGCTGCTTTTTACTTTCCTGGAAGGCTAACAGGAGACCAAAGAGGACTTCACAGTAGAATGGCCTTGATGGCTTTTTAATGATCCTATATATTTTTACATCTTTCTAGGAAGCCCTGTGCTGCTGACCAAACACACAATGGAGACGAAGCACAGACTTTTTAAAATCTATGTTTAAAAAACACAATTTTGGTGTTGAAGTCTCCACCCCTCAAATTCCCTCTGTTGGACCCCAAAAGTACAAAATCCTCCAGATCTGTTCTGAACAGCAGATCTGAGAAGAAAACCCAGGATGCTGTTTCTGCCTGCTAGAAACATGTCCTGCATATCTGAGGTGGGCTGTGAGGGGCTGGGGGCCTCCAGCACTTCCCTCTGTCATCTGCTGATGCCTGGTGCTTTCTCTTTGACCTTCCTGCCCTTGCCTTCCAGAGACGGAAATCTGTCCATTTCCTAATCGCTCACTTGCTACAAGCACTAAAATCAGCCGGGTTAAGTTGCTGCCAGCAGTGACATTTCCTGCCCCAGCCAGGGGTGGAAAAAAGGAGCAAATACAGGCCAGAGCCCAAAGTGACCGAAAAAGGATGAGAACCTGCAACTGGGCATTCTCAAGCTGCAGTGATGTTCCGTTATTTAGTTACATGTGGTTAAACCCACAGCCTGGTCGAGGGTTATGACACCTTTGAGGGCAAAGTGTCCAGGGGCTTGTGGGGTGCAGGTCAACTACAGGTGTGGGGTGGAGGTCCCTGTTGTAGGGCAAGGGGGAGGAGGAGAAGCGAGAGGTGTCCCTGCCATGGCAGGGGGGCTGGAACTAGATGATCTTTGAGGTCCCTTCCAACCCAAACCATTCTATGGTTCTATGATTCTATAAGTCAAGGACTGAGCCCCCCGACAGCATTTTGTAGGATTGGAAGGAGCCTGCTTGACCCAAGGGCTGGGAAGGGAGGTCTGCAGCAGAGGAGCATGAAGGACAAAGCGTGCAGCCATGCGATATCAAATCCCTGTGTTTGCATCACTGTCTGTCCATAGAGCTGTGGATGGGACCTCCTGCAGTTGCAGTGGTGGTGAGAGTTTTCTGAAGCTCCGCAGGAGATTTATGGTGGTGAACTGTTGTTTTGGGGCTCTTTTACCACTTTCCCTCTTGCCCTTGTGTCCGATCATTTGAGGAACCGCCAGGAGCTCTGGAGGCTGCCAAATCACCTTCTTGACAAGCATTTGCATGCTGAAACTCACGTGAGGTGCATTTTCCACCAAAGCAGCTGGGCTGCTGGAAGGGGGCTTCTAGCCTGTCCTAGGGAACCCTCTTTTTTCTAGGATAAAAAAGTCCAGCAGCTTTAGTTGTATGCAAGAAATGGTGTTTAATTTGGAAGCATGGATATGAGCCATATGAAATAATGCACAGCTTCATATGTATTCCTGATACACCTACCTTGTCATCTGCTGTCCTCAAGAGACATTAAAAGCTGAGAGGAAGCTGCTGGAGATGTTCCTGGTGGGTGGAGGAGGCCCAGCTTCCTTGATATCATAATTTCTTCCCTCATGAAGTGTGATGATAGCAGCCAAGGAGGAGATTTTCTTCAGACTGTTTATGGAAGAGAATTGCAGAGGGGGCAGGTGATTGCTTTCCCACAGCTGCTCCAAAGCTGGAGTGAATGCCTAGCGGCTTCTTAAGCCCCTTTGCTCTGAGCTGCCTCTTCTCTAATGAGGCATCCATTGAGTACAAGGTGACGTACTGAACCTGCATAAACCAACCTACTGCTGGCCTGTGTGAGCTCTGTTACCTTCAGCTGCATCTCCTGAACCACGGCTCCTGCTTTTTTCAACATGGATGCTGAATGTGGACCAGACATTAGCTTAGGAGAAGTGATGATGAAAATAATAAAATACTGAATGAATAAGAATTAAGGCCTGTATCATCAAAAATACTAGGGCACCGAGCTCCTGTTTCAGTAAATGTTGTGCCCCTCTTAATTATAGTTTGAGGATCTAAAAGTTTAGTCAGAGAGCATAGGTCCTGTCTCCCTTTGTGCAGTCTTTGCCCTTGGTTTGACTGAAGGGGAATATGACCTTAATCATTCTTCAGGAAGAAGTCCATGTTCCTATATCCAACAAAGCTGGGCAGCCTTTGGGCAAGAGCAAACCCTCACAGAGAAGTGACAGAAATTAAATGTGTTGCTTGCATGCATTGAGAGAAGACGGGGCAGATGCTGCTGCTTCATGAGCAACTGAGAACCAGCCAGAAGAGCCAAGGAGCCCTTATAGTGTTGCAGAAGGACCTCTCAAGAAACAGTGTTGTCCAGGCAGCATGTTGCAAGCCATGGGGCCAGACTGAGGGGCCGTCATGGTGCACAAGGACGTTGCCTTCCACATGCCAAGGGCAAACATCAATGGAGAAAACAATACCAAGCACTTATCCACATCAAAGATGACCCTGAGAAGACCTGCCAAGAATGTGGCTGCATCTGCCTCAGCTCCAGCCATCTGAGGGTCTGTGCTAGGCATGGCCTTCAAAGAATGC